AGAGAGAGAGAGAGAGAGAGAGAGAGAGAGAGAGAGAGAGAGAGAGAGAGAGGGCATATAATACAGTAAAACTATTTTTCAGGCTTACAGAAAAAGCAGGTTAATTCTGATACTAAACCCTTTCTCACCTTAATGACACGTCAATAAACCAATGGACCACTATGTTAGTCTAAAACGTTGGTTCCCAACCTTTTTTCACTTGTGTACCCCATTTCCATAAATTTAACACCCACCATTTACCAAAATAACAAAGCAGCAGACATGTATCCATTTCTTATGTCAGCCCACCCCAGTCCTCAACCCTAGGCTTCCATTAACGCCTGGGCATTTTCCAACCTGGTTCCTTCTCCAACCCTCCCCCCCCCTTCTTTCCTTTCTTGAAGTACCTGGCACGGCACAACCAACAGACACCACAACCTTACCCAGCCAGACCCTCTTCTCCTCCACGCCAACCCCACCCCTTCCGAGAAGGAGAGCCCCAGTCTCAAGGAATCATAGAATTGAGTTGGAAGGGACACGTAAGGCCATAGAGTCCAACCTGCTCAGTGCAGGAATCTAAATCAAAGTAGATCTGAAGATAGTTCTCCAATGTTCTCTTAAACACCTCTAGTGTTGGAGCCCTCACCACCTGTCAAGGTAATTGGTTCCATTGCTCTAACAATTAGGAAGTTTTTCCTGATATTCAACTGAAATCTGGCTTCCTACCACTTGTTTATTACATGCCCTGCACTCTGGGATGACTGAGAACAGGTCCTACCCCTCCTCTGTAGGACAGCCTTTCAAGTATTTGAAAAGTGCTATCATATCACCCCCCACCCCAGCCTTCTTTTCTCAAGACTAAACATACCCAGTTCTTTCAGGCTTTCCAGTCCTCTGATCATACTTTTTGCCCTCCTCTGAACCTTTTCCAGTTTGTCAACATCTTTCTTAAAGTGCATTATCCAGATGAGGTCTAACCAGTGCCAAATGTAGGGGGACTACCACAAGATTTAGAGACTGTACTTCTGTTAATGCAGCCTAAAATAGCATTTGCCTTTTTTCCCCCAGCCACAACACACTGTTAGCTACTACATATTCAGCTTCTGATCTACAATAATACCAAGATCATTCCCACTGCTATTACTGAACCAAATATTTTCCATCTTCTAACTGTGCATTTGTGGGTTTCCCAGGTATAGAATTTTGCACTTAACCCTGTTGAGTTTAATTCTCGTTTTCAGTCCAGAGATTAAGCCTATCAATTTTGTTTTTGTCTTCCAAAGTATTAGCTACTCCACTCAATTTTGTGTCATGCACAGAATTGATACGTACTCCCTGCACACTCTCATCCAAGTCATTAATAAAAATGTAGAAGAGCACTGGGTCCAGGACTGAGCCTTGGGGTATCCCACTTATTACCTCCTCCCAGTTTAAGAAGGTGCCAATGATAAGCACCCTGAATACAATTTTGTAAACAACTGTGTATCCAGTGATCGTTGTTCTAGCCAGTCCACACCTAGTTATTTTGCTAATCAGAATATCATGGGGTACTTTGTCCAAGGTTTTGCACAAGTCAATATATATCACATCTACAGCATTCCCGCTATCTACCAGATATGCAATCAAGAAAGGAGGGCCACAGTTCGACACCACTGGTTATGCAATCAAGAAATGATATAAGATTAGTCTGGCAGGATTTGTTCTTGACAAATCAATGTTAGCTTCTAATTATTACAGCACTGTTTTCAAGGCGCTTGCAGAGTGACTGCTTTATAAGCTGCTCAGGAGTTCTGCTTAAGATTCTCAAGCTGACTGGTCTGTACTTCCTTGGTTACTCCTTTTTGCCTGTTTTGAAGACAGAGACAATGTAAGCCCTCCTCTAATCATCTGGCACATCACCCATCCTCCAAGATTTCAAGAAAATAATAGATGGTAGTTCTGATAGATATATTCAGCCAGTTCTTTCAAATTTCTTGGATGCAGTGCATCCGACCCCAGGATTTGAACTAATTTCAAAGTATTAAGGTATTCCTTGACTATTCGTTTAATCAGTCTCAAGATGCAATCCTGTCTCCTCCCTTCCTACCTCACATTTGCTTCGAATGTCACAGTCTATCTTTTAGGACAAAGCTCAGCTGAAGTAGGAACTGAGCATTTCTGCCTTTTCTTTGTTGTCTGTTACCATTTTTCAATCTCTACTGAGGAACTGAGCCACTCTTTTCATATGTATGTAGCTGAAAAATGCTTTTTTGTTGTCTTTGTTGTCTTTGTTGTCGTTGTTGTCATCGTTGTTGTCAACTGAGGAACTGAGCCACTCTTTTCATATGCATGTAGCCGAAAAATGCTTTGTTGTTGTCTTTGTTGTGTTTAGCATCTCTTGCTAACCTCGGCTTTTGCCTCCCTAACATTATCCCTGCAATTCTTTGCAACTCTCAGCAATCAAAAGGCCCAAAATGTGGCACCAAGCGGCTTCCGCCTCCTTGGGTGAGGAGGGGCTCAACCCCAAACTGCCCCATCCTCTCAGCAAGACTGCAGGAACCAAAGGCAGGGACGGATTGTGTGGCACGGCTTGCTTCCCTTCCCCCACCCCACCCCAGGCCTTGGCACTGAAGACAATGAGCAGGAGTTGGGACCAATGAAGTTCCTGACACTGCAACAGCCGCCTCGGGTCTCCTGGCACCATGTTCTCCTGCCTCTGATGACGAAGCACCTCCAGACCCACTTGGGGCTCTGCTTTCTGCAGCCTCTTCAAGAATCCCAACATACGGCTCACCAATGTCCTCCTACACCTGTGGTTCCCAATATAGGATGACCCAGGTGTTCTTGGACTAGAAATCCAAGAAGCCCCGGCCACCACCGCTGTTGATGAAGGCATCTGGGAATTGCAGCCAAATGCTGGAGAGCCACTGCCAGTCAGCCCTGACAATCCTGGGCTCGATGGACTTCCTAGGGGTCTTCCTATGTTCCAGATATGCTCATCCAGTCTCAGCCATGCTTCAATTTGCTGCTCACCACAACTGCCATGGTCGTGTCTGCTCCACAGCTCAGATATGCTCATCCAGTCTCAGCCATGCTCACCACAACTGCCATGATCATGTCTGCTCCACAGCAAGGGCAGATGCCATCTTGCTCCCTCAAGCATCTTACTATCATCATCACCATCTTAGAACTGCAGAGCTGAAGGGGACCCTATGGAGATTATTTCCATCTCTTTCCTTCCCTCCCTTCACCTTCTGCTCTCTTTTCACTTTCCAATATCCTGGCAAAACACAAGGGAGCCAAAAGAAACAAAATGCATACCTGGCTTCTCCTCCACCTCCAGCCTGGGTTTCTCAGGTTTCCTTCTCTTGGGTGGCTTGCTGGGTCTGTGTTGGCGTCGGATGTACTCGACTGCAGGGGAGAAAGGAAGAGGGTTTTGCCACTCTGTAGGAGTACAACTTGCATTGCAACAACCTACTAGGGCACACAGGCTTTTTCATGAGTTACACCAGCGGTCCCCAACCTTTTTTGGACCACGGACCGGCTGAGCCACTGAGGAAGGCGGGGGGGCACGCAGGTGCACACACACTCTCGGGTGCAAGCGCGAAGCGATGGGGGAGCGCCTGCCCATCAGTGTGAATGCTCCCCCACCCCTTTACAACCTACTAGGGCACACAGGCTTTTTCACGAGTTACACCAGTGGTCCCCAACCTTTTTTGGACCACGGACCAGCTGAGCCACTGAGGAAGGCGGGGGGGTTGTGCAGGTGCATGCAGGTGCACACACGCTCTCAGGTGCAAGCGCGAAGCAGTGGGGGAGCGCCTGCCCACCAGCGTGAATGCTCCCCCACTCCTTCGCGCATGCACAGTGGCACTTGCACACCTGGATCATCATGCTGGCTGAGAACAAGGGGACATCTAGTCAAATGCATTTGGAGGCGATGAGGTTTGGAAGAGAGTTGTTCATATGCATCACCTTCAGGGCATCAGAAAAGTTACCTTTTTTGTATTATAGCTTCTAGACAATGCTGGCTGGACAACTCTGGGTGATGTAGTTCAAAATGTAACTTTCCTAGGCTCTGATCACTTTCAGTCAAAGCAAATCCATTCTAAATTTGGCATAACTGCTGCAGAATGCAAATCATGTCCCCCCCCCCCATTTGCCCTCCTTCTCCCAGTGGAACACTAAGAAACGTCTCTGGTTCTCCTCAGATTATTAAGGAAAGGTGAGAAAAGGATGCAAACAGAAGAACAACCAACCCAATGAAGACCACCCAAAAAAAAAGTCAGAAGTGAGAGAACATAAAGACTTGATTGTCTAAATCCTTGGAGCATCAATAAGTGGTTGGAAGCTCTCCAGATTTTTGTGGCTACCTCACTCTGGCAGCTGGCATAACTGCCATACAATAACCAAACAAGCAAAAGGGACCCATTGGCCAAGAACTTGAGGTTGGGGGTCCTAATGCAGGGCAGCTCTGTTTACTTTGGTAAAATCATTCCCATCTGTCAAGCATTATTCAAAAAACGTGCCTGGCATTTTCCATTCACATGGTCCAAAAAAGTAAAAAAGAACCCCAGCACGTGCAAGGGAAATGAGGGGTAGGGGGATGGGGCACGTCTGGGCTGCTGAGCTGTTTCCTCCAGTGAACTTCTGCACAAATCAAAGGCAGATCCAGGATATCCACAACCATAATTATTCTCATTCACCGGGCATTTTTTACAGATGTTAAAAATTACAGTCATCGTTTTTAGCCCTATTAGAGCAAGAATTTGGTACAGCTACTTTTTTTAGATGAGTAGCCCCAAAATCCCAAAGTCAACATGGCTGAGGAAGTGTAACCCAAAAAGAGTAACTTTTGTGAGAAATTTTGGATAAGATGTGCCTTCAAACCAATTATTGAGACCAAGCACAGGGCTTGGTCTGAACTATTTTGTGCTTCAGTTCAGTTTTCTCCCTCTCTCTTCAAGACAAAGGTGAGCAAAGTGTGGTCCGTGACCCATGTGTAACTTCTGGAGCCCCCGCTCCACTCTGACATTTTCTTTTTTTACATAAAGAAAGACCTCCTTACACCCTCCCAAAAGCATGGGACCAATTTTAACCATTTACCTGTTTTAGGCCTGATGTGTGTGTGTTTTCAAACTGAAAATGACTTTTACTAATTTTTCAGGTAGGAAAAAAAGGCTCTTGGGGGAGCTTAAAGCCCATCGGGGGGGGGGCTGAAAATCTGGTAGAATCACACCATTTCCCAAGGGTCTTCCCCAGTAAAATGGGAGGGGCTCTTGGTGCTATAGGGAAGGATGGGGCTTTCTGAGATCCAGAGAGGGCATGTGCAGCCCCTGGCCACTGAAGGCTGCTCATCCCTTCTCGGGGACGACCATGTAAAAGAAGCAACAAAGCAAGGCTTCTGTTGTTGGGATAATTGTGCAGAAGAAGGGATTTCAACTGGTGTAGGTTGCCATGCAGTGGAACCCAAAAATGGCATGATTTTTTCTTTAAAGGAAAAGAGGTTTAGACAGAACATTAGAAGAAACATCCTAACCATAAGAGCTATTCAGAACTTGGACAGAGTCTGCCTCGTTAAATGGTGGGCTCTTCACTGGAGGAACTGAAGTGGAGGCAGAGATGCCTCCTCCTCATCTGAGGAAAGGTGGGTTCTAAATTTAAGGAATAAATAATAAAATCTCAGTAGGATGAAGATAAAGCTGCAGAAAAATAGATACAGATTTCTGGCAACCTATGCGTTCTGCAGGCCCGGTCAGAGACAGGAAGGAATTTGATGGTACAGAACAAGGATAAGCAAGAATACACCAACTGGGAAGGTGTGCGCCATCCTACAAATTAAACCAGAGCCAATTCCAGGTGGACCTCCACACACGGCAACAGGTGTTCTCCTAAACACTGTAGCCTCTACCTAGATGATCAAGTATTACCAAAGTTCCAAACCCCATGTTTTGATGGCTTCTCACCCCAGATGTGATGATACGGCACAAAACAGCCAACCTCCACTCACAGTGAACAAATCAGAGAGGGACGCTGGCTCAACCCGGTTCTCACAGAGAGGATATAATTGATTCTGCCTACCATTCGCCTCTGAAGGATTTGCACACCAGGGATGGTGAATTTTTGGTCTGCCCTCATCTCCCAGAAATACCAGCCAGCATGGCCCAAGGTAAGGGATCTCGACCATCATGGGTCGCAACATGTGGAGGGCCACATGTTCACCAAATGTCCTTTACAGGATGCTAAGGGTGCCATCAGGCAAGGAGAAAAGTGTGTGTCTGGCGGCACTGGAGAGAGTTGCTTTTCTGGGAGGGATCTCCCTTAAAGCGAACTTTTCATCCCTTAGGAAATCACTCCAGCCCGGCCCCCAAATGTAGCAGCCCCACTCCTGCACCAAAAAGATCTAGCAGCTTGGAATGCTATTGCCCATATGACCTGCCATCAATGGAGAACAGCTTGCGCAACAGTCAGTGCCACAAACCGTCCAATTGCAAGCTATAATATGCCCGTGTGATCCAGCATTTGGTCCCCTGGGAATGTTTCAATCCCCTCCATCTGTGTCTTCTGGCATGGGAAATATGTCTTACTTCTAAATGAGGTGTTGTCTTTGGCCATGAAAACAGATTCTTAGAATCTGGAACTCCATCTGTGTCTTCTGGCATGGGAAATAGAATCAGTCTTACTTCTAAATGAGGTGTTGTCTTTTGCCATGGAAACAGATTCTTAGAATGTGGACTCTGTTTTCCGTACAAAGTCGTACTCTTGCACAAAATCCTAGAGCACTTGTTTCTGTGCTTTTCAGAGGGAACGGCCCCAGCAGGGCAGACAATGGGGCAGACCATACTCTGAAGCATCAGACAACTTCAGACCCACGCAACTAGGGCAACAAGGAATCCAACATCCCAGAGCAAGACCCCTCGTGGTCTCATCACCCACAACAACAACAACAGGATAGGGGCCTCTCCTGAAAGAAAGGAACTGTGACTATATCTAGGTACACCAAGTCAGTCGTACAATCCTCATAGTCCTCGCGTTCAATCTGCTCATTGTAGTCCAGCGTAGGCGGCTCCACCTCTCCGGGGGACTCTGAATAAAGACAAGAACCAGAGTCATTTCCTGAGTCTGAAAAAATATCCCACACGTGAGAGGCTTCTAAGGTCCTGGAATGTCTGAAGTTACACAGATCTACTTAAACCCTGTCCAAATATGTTGGCCTACAAATTCCATTAGCCCCACCGTGATGCCCACTAGTAAGGGCGTCATAGCCTCAAACATCTGGGAAGTCAAATGTCCCCCACCTTTGAGTTAAGCTGCACGCAAGGCTATGGACCCGGTAAAGTCCACAGTGCATACAGAACATGGACCCTTTGCACTGAGTACTGTCAGGGCTCTGTATGGATGGCAAGAAGCCAGCAGGGCCAGAATCAGGCAGGCATGTACTGCTATGCAGAGAGCAGGGTGGAGTGCTCCCTGGGCAGTGAAGAGTCCATCCAAAATTTAGGAGTAACACAGCACTTTGTTTTCCTTTTTCTGAACACATTCTTTTCACATGAAACAAGGGTTGCAAGGATGACCGTTTTAGAAGAGGAACAGGACAGCTCTCTTCTCAAACAAGATACTTGGTCCTTGTGCGCCTTGTTTGCTTTCTGTAAGAAATGGGGTTCTTTTAAGTGGCCTGCTGCTACATATACCACTCAAATCCAGTAGTGGCTCTGGGAACCCTAAGACCACTAGGGGAGAGGACAGCCAGCCCATGGACCACGCATTGACCTTCTCCGTTCTGAAAATACGCTTCTCATCGAGGCCACCTGACATTAAAGTACCAGGCATGACAAGCTTGTGGTTGCTGACTGAGGGCCAAAACAAGTAAGCTGGGCAGCTTCACAATGAGGTGGTGACAAAATATTTTACCCCAAAATGTTTCCTATTGACAAGCAATCACCAAACAAAAGCAAGAGAATTTCCAACTTATGAAGCTGAGAGAAGATCAACACACATCATTTGCTGTTTCAGTCAACTCCACTTCTAACTGCAAAGCTGTCCATATTGTGTCTTTTTTGGACCACAGCTGCCAATGGCCAACTGATGATAGTGACAGAGTTACATGACCAATTTTTGTGGTCCTCACAAAGTTTCCACAAGCGCAGCAGAAACTGCTGGCAGGGCACTGAAATCACATTAAGTCCTCCGAAGCTTGCAACACGTTGTTCGGACATAAGGTGGCAATGACTACATTCCCCTCTCTAGGAAAACTGTATGGTGGCTGCTTTGCCAACATTAGAAACAGAATAACATTTTTGCAGAAGGTTTGAGATGTCTAACAGACTGTGGAATTATCATACTAGGCATGCATGTCTGCTTGTCGACATGTGGTTTTTACATATCAGACGACCTGAGAATTTGGTCAAGTAGCACAGACTTGCATATTATTTATGCAATTATACCCACTAAGTCTAAACTGGGCTGTGAGGTCAGCACAGCAAAAGAGCCAGGCTAATGGCCAACCCCAGCAATGAATCTCTGCTCACCTGGTTGGTGCTCATGGCCTTCATCCTCTCTTCCAGGTTCCTGTGGTTCTGTTGGGGGCTCATAGAAGTCAGCTTTAAAAAACAAACAAACAGTAAAATTGGCTGGGATAATAGTAGTTTCCCCTTCCACAGTCCACCGTCCCCAAGAACGGAGGGATACTTCTGCTTATACAGCACCTGTAAACCCACTCATATTCTGCTCCTACCTCAAAACAACCTTGTATGAATCCACAGTTAAGTTTGGCCTCTTGTTAGTCCAAGAATCACTTTTTCCCCCTGTGGTTCAGAGGAGCCTGGGCTTGCAGAGGCTAAGCACCAGAACATTTTGAGTAGCAGCAAGCTCCCCCTGTATCCCCTGAATTTATCTAATTACATCATGTCAACGAAAATGCTCAAAGAACTACTACGGCCATCTTGAGAGTCTTCTTCTCAAAAGGGGGCTTCTATACATCATCTGTACTAAAAGTCTTCCGAGGCAAGGTACTGGCCCCTCAGGTCTACGCGTACATAAAGATTTCTGCCCCCTTGAGACAGCACAGTCTAAATTTCGAAGAACTATATTTGGTCTACCGCGCTGTATCTCTAATGCTCTACTCAGAGGAGAAGCTGGAACGGCTCTCCTTGAAGCAAGTGTGTGGGTTTAGTCTTTGGCTGAAGGTAAAGCTTAATCCTATTGTTTTAGCACCTCTGACTTTTAATAGATAACCACCTCTTAGGCTGGGTGAAGACAGTGGAGGGGAAATTGTCGCCCTATGGGTTATCCCCTTTGACTTTGTTTATCTGGAATTTACAGGAGCCAAAGAGAATATTAGGAAGTGGATCTGGGATACAGGCTTCCAACTGGACAGATTAAGGCTCTCAAATTATGGTTGTTGTGGGTTTTTCGGGCTCTTTGGCCGTGTTCTGGTTGTTCTTCCTAATGTTTCGCCAGTCTCTGTGGCCGGCATCTTCAGAGGATAGCACTCTGTGCTCTCTGAAGATGTCGGCCACAGAGACTGGCGAAACGTTAGGAAGAACAACGTTAGGAAGAACAACCTTCAGAACACGGCCAAAGAGCCCGAAAAACCCACAACAACCATTAGATCCCGGTCGTGAAAGCTTTTGCAAATACAGTTCCCATATTACTCAGTGGCAGGGAATCACAGTAAGATCTTCATCCAAGCCAAACAAAAAAAAAAGCACAAAAAAAGCAATGTGTGCTGCTTATATGCAAACCCATAGCACTTAAAGCTAATTTACATAATTAACATAATTTACAAGTTAATTATGCAGGCAACACATTCCCCCCCCCCAGCAAGCTGGGCACTCATTTTACCAACCTCGGAAGGATAGAAGGCTGAGTCAACCTTGAGCCGGGTACCTGGGATTGAACCTCAGGTCTTGAGCACAGTTTTGGCTGCTGAACAGCAGTTTAACCACTGTGCCACAAGGCTCCTAAGCAGGTTATCTTTACAATTTAGAACTTGTGAGCCATCCAAAACCTTTCACCCTGGCCCGCTTAAGTGCTCTGCCTTCAGCCATTTTAGAGGAAAGATACTCACGTACCCTTCATGATTGCCCCTGCCAATCTGGTATGGAGGAAACTGTGCAACATGTCCTGCTGTGTTGCATATTTTATAACAATTTGCACAATCTACTTAATTCCCAGATTTTAAAGCATTATCCAGGTAGGCCATATAGATGTTGCATCTATATTCTTCTCTCTAATTCTCATGTGAAATTATAGCTAAGGTTGTAAAAATCTGTGCAGTGGTTTCTATAGTAAGAAAGCAAATGATTAAATCACTGCAGTAATCAGACTGGAAATTTACATGTAATGGCAATTTTAATTTTTGTCCACCTTGTATTGCTTATAAATACAATATGATTTGTTGTTGTATTTTAGTTTTGTATATCTGATACGGCTTTTCTATGGTCATAATAACAATAAAGTTAAAGTAATTATGGGAAAAATAGATTTTCTTAACAATTATACACTCTGGTGAGCTGTCCATTGTAATGCAAAGTATTTTAAAATAGCGAATGAGCAGTCAAGCTCCATTAGCTTTACAAAAGACCCACACTTGGTAGTGATGACAACCGATTCATTCTTATGGACCAACTCCACTGCTTGCATTTTAGGACTCCCCTTGGTACTGTAATGATGGCAATGACAACTACCTGCATTTTAAAAGTTCCCTTTCCCCTAGCTTTTACAGCCTTGGGCCCCATCATATGCGTGCCCATCACCACCAACCAAGACCACGGTCCACCTCCTGAGCTCTCTTACTGTGATGCCTTGTGGGATCCTGCTTGTCATCCCAGCGTGGATCTGTCGGCTCCTCTGGGAAGAGAGCTGCAGAATTAAAGAACTTGAATTAGAGAATATATATATCAGTTAAGACCAGTAGTTCAGGAGACAAAATGGGAGAGGAAGGCTGTAGAAGGGGCTGGACAAAAAAAAGGGGATGCCATCGTTTCTTTCACTCTGGAAGATGTAAAGGAGAAGCAATGCTCCAAATAAAACTCTTGGACAAGGGACTTTTATAGAAGTGGTCACAACTCTTTCTCTCCAGAATGCCAAGAAGGCAAGGATGGCCAAAACAATTTGCTTCTTAAATCAACACAACAAACGGCACACACATTTTAAAAGGTAAAATATGCAAACCCAGCCCACGGTGTTTTGGCACACGAACCAGAAAATTCTTCTAATAGCTGTCTGCATACTTGGCAGTAAAAATATAATAATACCAAAAGAAACGCCTAACAATTTGGTGCCCTTTTGCAACTTACAAAATTTGGTGCTTGAGGTGACAGCTTCATGCTGCCTAATGATAATTGCCTCTGGCAGTAATGTTATCTAATGTTATTGCGACTAACCTTTACCAAGTTAAGGTGAAGGCTGCTAGTCAATCTTACTTCACTGTCCAGATAAGCAAAGCATCTAACCAGCAGGCAGAACTTTTCCATATAGTGAGCGGCCTCCCATTAGCATCTCACCTGACCAATTTGCAGCTTTTTTAAAATCAAAAGTGGAGACCATTGGCTGGGATCTTACCCCCGTTTGGAGCGTCCAACGCTCCATCTTGCCTGATGAGACTTAACCACTTTCAGCCTGTGACATCAGATATGGTGGACAGAGTGCTTGACCGTTGTTGTGCCACCACCTCCTCCCTTGACCCTGGCCTGGCCTGGCTAATCAAAGCAGCCAGGGCTATAAGACCTGAATGGGCTACGCCAGCAATAATTAATGGGTCTCTCAAGAAGACACTCATTAGGCCCATTAAGAAGAAACTGAACTTGGCAGCGAACCATATTGGTAATTATAAGCCTGTCACCAATGTTTCTTTCCTTAGCAAGGTAGTTGAGCGGGGGGTAGCCAATCAGTTGCAGGCTCTTCTGGATGAAACCAGTGCCATGGATCCATTCCAGTCGGGCTTCAGGCCGCACCACGGAAATGGCAGGTCACCCTGTTTGATGACCTATTGACGGGCAAAATGTCTCTGCTGGTTCTCCTCAATATCTCAGCCACCTCAATAAATGTCTCTGCTGGTCCTCCTCAATATCTCAGCCACCTCA